TGTCCCTACATCCCTTGTCCAAAGCCCCTCTCCAGGTCTCCTGGAGCCCCTTTAGGCACTGGAGCTGCTCTAAGGTGTCCCCTTCAGGATCCTTCTCTTCTCCAGCTTCCCCAGCCCAGCTCTCTCAGCCTGGCTCCAGAGCAGAGCTGCTCCAGCCCTCGCAGCATCTCTGTGGCCTCCTCTGGCCTCACTCAGCAGTATTACTGCTTTCCAGCACGTCTGTCCCCCTTAAAATAAACAGACATCCCCAAAAGAACTTCTCCTGATCTCGATTGTCCTAAATGTCTTCATTAGCTCTGAAACAATGAGAACTGAGGCCAGGAGGATCACCTCCTCATCTGTATTCCTGCTCCACCGCGAGCGGGTCTCCTGCCTCTCGCTGCTGTCCTCAGCAGGCTCAGTGCTCCCGGCTGTCCCGCTCTGCTGCTCCTGCGCTTGCCGCTCTGCTCGGGACCGGCTGAAGGTTCTCTCGGCCTCCTGAAGGTCTGTCAGGGTCACCCCCTGCAGAGAAAGTCCAAGAGAGAACTGGTAAATGTGCACATTCAGATCTTCCAGGTCAGTGTGGAATGCCCAGCCTCTGCCTGGCCAGGCCAGTGGTTTATCTCTATGCGAACAGAAGGGATTCTGCTGCCTTTAACACATTTCTCAGTGTAGTGACATAAGCACTGACTCAAAGCAACCCAAACACACACTATCAAGCCACACACCAAAAGGTGGGTATCCTGCAGAAATGAGAACTCTGAAACCCAACTCGTGTGTGCTTGGGGAGTGTTCTGTAATAATTCTCTGCAGGAGCTTTAGCCAGAACGTCTCCAACCCCATGTGAGAACACGACAAGCCCCCTGTCCTAGGTAACAATGTCAAAGAAAATCCTGCCTCTCTATTCATGAGCTCTCTTCATCCCACACATGAACATGAGTATTTCCATCCCTTACCTGTGTGGACCTGCGGGTCTGCCGGGCCTGCCTGGATCGTGCCTTCCTCAAGGATTCCGCTTCCTCATCCCGCACCGGAGTCAGATATGACCTGGAAAAAGAAAAAGGGGCAAGAAGAGGTTAAACTAAAAGCAGATGCTCTGTGCTCTGCCCTCCTGCCTCAGCCAGCTCCTGAGCTACTGTTCTCTTCTATATGGACAAAAAGAATTTAACCTCCATTAACCAAGACTGCTGCCTTCTGCTTTGGGACAAATTTCTTAGGAGTGTATGATACACAAATGACATTCTCTCTAGAGGCTCTAAATAAACTCTTAGGTGTTGGACATGTTCTGTTCATAAAGGTGCAAGTATTCAGTATGGGATTTGCTCCACTCTGTGTCATTGCAGCACTAGGAAAAAAAAATTCAACCAACCCACAGAAAGCACCTCTCGTTCAGATAAAGATCTCAGGAACAGAAATCCTGCACTGGCACATTCCTCAGACCCTCCTTCCTGTCATTATATTCGTGATCATATTCCTGCAATCTGCTGTCCTCATCAATATGAAACCCATCGTGCTAGAAACCTGCTGAATGGCAGGTACCTCGTAGAGACAAAACACCTTGAAAAAAGCCATGGAATGAAAGAAACGACCTTCACACCCCTGGAGAAAAGCATGAAAACCACTTGGTTAAGATGCAGAGCTGGTCACCACCAGACTGCATTAAACCTGGGAGATTCCAACAGAATTATTCACAGGAAAATGCATAAACTGAGCTCTCTGCCCTGGCATTGCCTATGGAGGAGCTGGAGAGGAACTCAGCGCTGCTCTGAGCAGTCTGATTTCCATACTGGTGGAGCAGCTTCCCTCTCAGGAGAGATTAATTAGACTGGACTCTTCAGCCTAGTCAATAGGGAATGATTATTAACACTGTCTCACTGTGCAAGGATGAGGGTGTCTGCAATGTTCTTTTATAGGTCTACCACTGCCACAGGTTAACAGAGTGTCAAAGAGCTAGATCTGGTCAAAGAACAATTAGCCAAGCAAGGGAGGAACTTCTATTAAGGAATGAAGATCTATTAAGGAATAGGATTACTCTGTCCTTGAACTCTTTTCCTGGTTCTCCACCACCTGCATGGAAGAGGTAATGGGCTGAACAGATTTTGCATCTGATCCAGTATATTAAAACATTTATGAGGATTCTCAACACTGACATCACCTGTAAACCTGGATCATTCTAAAACTATCTACCATGATGACTTTTATCCACCTTCTCCATCTGGTGCTCAGCACTGATTTAGCTGTGCACTCCACAGTTAGCAGGGGTTCCTTGGACTGTTTGGAGGTCCATCCATGGGAGCTGGTCACCTCACACGCCTCCTGGTGTTGGGGGACACACGTGAGAGTCTTCTCACCTAAAACTGTTGTAAGTATTCAACCTGATAAATCATGCCCCAAACTCCCCTGATCTCCAGAGAGCACAGGAGAGTGTGCAGGATCGATGCTCCTCACTGCACACTTCTGGAGGAGAGAGTCCTGCTTGGGGCTGTGATGGAGATATCTCCATCCGAGCCGGCCAGGCGCACAGAACTGCACTTCCAGGGTGCCATTTATCACCTTCAGAGAGAGCCTCCAGCACAGATCATGTGAATTCATTGCAGAGGAGCTCATTTCTTCCCATTGATTATCCCGACAGCCACACTAGCTATGATGGATTCACCAACATGGGAAGTGCCTGAAATTCAGGGGGCTGATTGCTTCCCAGGACCGGGCTGTTTCCTGAGCAGAAAAGCTGCTGTTTGATGAGTGGAAGCTGTGCAGCTCCTGAGTTTGCAGACAAGCTTTTATGCAGTGCACGTGTGCTACCCGGGTAATGGCATATTAAGGAAACAATGAGCATTTTCTGCAGGCTTTTGATACCAGTGGAATAGCTGCTATTTGCACAGCATCCAGCAGTAATAAGCTGCCTGCAGCAAGAAGGCATTTGCAAAATACACTGCAAATGAAGTTCAGAGGAGTAGTAAGAAAAAATAAATAGTTCCTGGAACATACAAACCAAGTAAATTTGTAGCTAACTGAGGTGGGCAACAGCTTTGAATGGGTGAATTTACATCACATACAAGGATGTGGAAGAGTTACATACATAGCATGGGAATAAGAGGAGGAAAGATGAGCCCTGCCCTTGCCTGAGGAGGAACTGGGTTCATACAGCACCACGGGTGCTCAGGAACACTCCTGGTATGTGTGAGCAACACAAGGTCACGCTGACAGCACCTGAAATACTTTTGTACACAAAGAAAATCACAGTGAACTCCCCGGCACTGGAGGACAAACCAGATTTCCATGGGGGTTTCAACCAAGGTTTGGCAAATCCGCGGGGAACAGCCCAGCTGGGTTGGAAGGGGCAGGTCTGCTGGAGCACAGCGTGGCTGAGGGGTTCCCCTCATCTTAGTGTTTAGCCACAGCTTTGTGTTGAGGAGTGCATGGGGACAGCGGGAGAGGAACCATTTGTGTCTCTCACCTCCCAGGCTCTGTTCCTTGGCTCTCCCAGGATTTATAGAAAACTACAAACACGTTCAAACATCAGCAGCAGTTTTGGGTGTCCAACAGTGACATAATCTCCAGCCGAGCCTGCTCGGCAAGTCAAAGTGGCTCAGTCTGGGCTGCAGCCTTTATCGATTGCTGACTTCTGGTTTCCTTGCATTTACCCAATCCCCAGTTCTTGGAGCTCACCCAAAGCCATTTTCCAGGCATGAGATAACTGAATTTTCTGAAACGAGCCAGCAGAGCCTCTGCACAGGGACACAGCTGGTTTCTCTGAGTAAGTAGCTCCAGCCTTTACCTGGTAGTGAAAGGAGGTGGCTGGGCTGTAGATCTTTCAGATGCAAACACCAGACTCCACACCAGCAATTCAATCACATTTTGGCTCTGCTTGATGGAGGTTTTTTGGGGTGTTTGCTATTTTTTTTTCACTGGGGAGGAGGGAGGGAAAAGACAAATGCTACAGTTATAGCTGATGCTTCACTTTGCTTACAACATGAATGTTAAGAGAGCAGCGTGTGCTAAATGGGATGGAAGAAATGGAGAACAAATTCACTGCGAGGAGATGGCAAATGTGCTGCAGCCACAAAGCACGGCTGGATGACAGAGGGAGAGCAATACCCTGCTCTCCAAAGCAGAAAAACTGCAGATTGCAGCAGGCTGCAGGGACAGGCAGCAAACGGGGCACGAGGCGCCCTGTGAACAACCCACTGTGGGGTTAATTATGTTTACAAGAAACCCATCACTTGCTCCAGTGCAGTGTCTGTGGCATCCTACTCATTCAAGCCAGCATCATACGACCCAGGTGGGTCTCCAAAGAAATGGTCCCGTGTCTTGTATTTTCTCACAATAAGCTTCCTCTGAGGAGTACCTGACACCGGAGCAGCCGCCGTGCTGAGTTCAAGGCACGCAGAAAGCAGAACAGATTCTCCCCAGAGTCCTGGTTGCAAGTACAAGCAGCAGAATATAAATTGTGAGAGATGTGTACGTGAGAGTCAGCAGAAGCACTGCTGTAGTTTAGAGTTCCAGAGGCACAGACCTTGTCCTGCTGCCACACGACAGCTACAGGCTTTTGATTTGTGCATCAGCTAGAAAAAAGCTGGGAACTGAATGATGAATCTGGTTCCCATTTTCTTCCTGATTTCAAGAAAACACCTATTTTCTCTGTTGGCTCTTGGATGGGGCTTTGAGCAACTTGGTCTAGTGGGAGGTGTCCCTACCCATGGCAGGGGGTTGGAACTGGATGAGCTTTAAGGTCCCTTCAACCCAAACCAGGCTGGGATTCTATGAATCAAGACAGCGTGACACAAGACGGATCCCACCTGCTCATCACCATCTCAAGGCAAAAGGAGGTGCAATAAAATACTAATAGAAGGGGAGGTTCAAAGCAGGGCAGTGGTAAGCCTGGATATACAAGCTGGTGAACCACAAGAGCATATCTGCGTGCTGGAGATGCTTTCCCAGAGGGAAAAAAAGAACCCCCTCCAGAGCAAAGGGTGAATGATGCAATGCAAGAAATGACAATCCTCTGTTAACTGGTGCACAGGTAACAAGAACAGATGATGAATTTCTCCAAGTACAGAGCTTCTGACAGTCTTTTTATGACAATGGTTTCCTTTCCTGCCTTCCTGAACTCCTTCAAGCTCTTCGAGACTGAAATGTTCGTGGTAAACACCATCCACCACCAGACAGGGTCCTTTGGCAGAGCCACATCACCCAGTCCAGGGGCAGCACCAAGAACGGGGTAACCTGAAGATTGACATTGCCACACTTCAGTGACTGAGCACAGGAAAGGCACCTCAGAGACACTCACCCACACATGCCAAAACTTGGCAACATATTTAGGAGCTAAAACGCTCACGAACTGCTAGAGCTGCCCTCTTGGCAAAGTGGATTTGAGGCACTGTGTGTTGCTACTGCCACAGCAGACACTGAGACACCCAACCACGCGCTGTCATGGGCCACGCTGGGTTCCCTCCATCGCCACCAGGACCTTCTCCAACAAACCCACATTCCCACAGCAAGCACAGTCAGAACATGAGCTATGCTTGATGTGGCTCTTCTAAGAGGAAAGTTTGCAGTGGGCAGGAGTTCTCCATGGGCCATCTCACCCTGAATGTCGTGATTCAGGAATGACTGTGAACCACACTCACTAGACTGTAAACCACAGTGACAGACAATATGGGTAAAGGGCAGCCAAGCACAGGTTTGGTTTCCTGCACATGGAAAGCCACAGATACTCAGACTCTAAAATGTTTGAAGTAGCTGTTCTTAAAGTACAATATCACTGTTCCAAACATGTCAGGATTTTATATCTTCATCATATATCTCTCTATCGCTCTTAACTTACATCCATATATATATGGATGTTATACACCTATATGTGTATATATATATACACACACTGAAAAAAGGAGGATAGAGAAAAAAAACCACCCCAGCAAATCCTCAAGTACTGGTACCGTTCCCCTGGAAACAACTGGAAAAGTACAGCATCCCAGCAATACATTCCTACAAACTGGAAATTTGCCATTGGCTAAGGAACTATCTCGAAGCTGGGGGAGGCAAGA